AAAAGTCTTAAACCAATTTATATCAGTTATAAAATAACATATAAAGTTACAAAATAAGATTATATTTACAGTTTCTGTAGTACTAAGTGATAACAAAGTTTAACAAATAAAATATAAACTTTTTATAACTTACATAAATTAATATCAAATATCAATGTTAAAAGATTAAACATTATCGATAGGCTGAACCTCTGAGAAGTATATTTTGGTCAAACATTTATCTCTTGGAATTTCGGTCCGTCGATAGAGTTTCTTATGAATGCTCGACCTCTATATTGAACTCAATTTATAACACTTACAGTACATTATAAATCACTTTTTAGTAGTTAATAACTTATAAGATTACAAACACATGAGAAATGTTTAATGAGTATTTCGTTCAAATTAGTATTCAATTGTATTCTTATTGTATTTACATTAAAGACTTATACGGAATGTGCGGCCGAATGGGAAAGTTGAAGGATATCGACAAATTTGATGGACTTTTCTTTGGCATCTTTAGTACAATGGGTGATAGTATTGACCCTCAATCGAGAATACTATTGGAGACTACTTATGAGGCTATAGTTGACGCCGGTATGCAATTGATATAGATATAGATAATATAATAGATATTGCTATACAACAAGGCATCCAGATTTAATCAAATGTCTGTTTCATAGGTATAAACCCGCAGTCACTCCGCGGTTCAGATACCGGTGTATACATCGGGTACTCGTCGTTCGGAATGCCTGACGGCATACCAGAGGAAGTACAGCCCGACTCGCAGAGTAATATGACGGACACATTGCTATGGATTCAGGGCAGCAATAAGTGTCTGTACGCTAACCGCGTTTCATTCGTATTTGACTTCAAGGGGCCGTCAGTTTTCATCGATACGGCCTGTTCTTCCAGTTTAGTCGCCTTCAATGTAGCGCTTAATGACTTGCGATTAGGTTTGTATTGACATTAATATTGAGATTTATAACCAAAACCATGTATTCATCGAAATACCAGGCAAATGCCGACAGGCGATAGTCGGCGGAACCTCTATCAACCTCCAGCCGTTCACTAATAACGTGTTTCAGGCGACACATCTTAACTGCAGGGATGGCGTGCCTAAGGTATGGGACGATAAGGCCGACGGCTTTGCCAGAGGCGAGTGTGTGGCCAGTATTTTCCTGCAGAGGGCGTCCGACTCTAAGCGCATATACGCCACTGTCCTTAACTCCGGCGTCAATATCGACGGAAACAAAAGGATGGGTATGTTCTTCCCCTCGTCCACCACTCAGGAGGAGCTCATGGTTAAGGTGTATGAAGAGGCAAACATAGACCCCTTGAAAGTGAACTATTTTGAAGCCCACGCCACCGGAACTAAGGCTTGTGATACACTTTAGCACTAAATAAGAAAGTTTCTAAGTTTTTCTTGCACTACATGTATAGGTGGGCGACCCCCAGGAGGCCAAGGCTATATTCAACGCCTATTGCGGCAAACCTGGACGCGAAGGTGTCCTACCTGTGGGCCTATTGAAGAGCAACATCGGTCACGCGGAGGGCGCCTCCGGTGTCTCATCCGTGGCTAAAGTGTTGATCGCATACGAGAGGGAATGCATCCCTTCTTGTCTACACTTAAACAACATTAAAGGCAATATCAGAGAGTATTGTCCGCCACTGTTGCCCATCAATGATAACTATCCCTATACTCCGGGTATGAAAACATGATCCTAGTTATGAATGATTGCATTTATTGATTTGCATGGATTGTATTGATAGGTATCGCTGGTGTGAATAACTTTGGAGTGGGAGGTGTGAACGCACACGTATTACTTGAACCAAATTATAAGACAAAAAGTGATAATATGAACCGGATCGCCGAAGGTGTTCCCCGACTCATCAATATATGCACCCGAACTGAGGAGGGCTTCAACCAATTCAGCCGATATATTGAGGAAAATCCTGACAAAATTACTAATGATTTCTTAGCCTTATTGGCCGATACTATGAAAAGTAAGCCCTCACTCAACTCAACTGGATTTCCATACAGAGGTTTGTTTTATCTGATGTTATAATACTGTACTAATTACTGTATGATTGCGTTTTGAATTATAGGTCACGTTATGATCAAAGAAACTGTTGGCGATAATGGAGAGGTACAGAGACAGTACACCAAACACTACTCAACCTTTACTGCAAAGACTGTACGTCCCATTTGGTTCCTATTCCCTGGTTTGGGAGGACAATGGACTGGAATGGCAAAGGCTTTGATGCCGATTAAGATATTCGCCGATAAGATTGAGGAATGTCATGAAGTACTCAAGCCTTTTGGCATAGACTTAAAGAATATTCTGTTATCTGATGACAAAAACTCGATGTCAAACATGACTAACAAATTCTGTGCCACAACTGCTATAGAGATAGCATTAACTGATGTTATCTCAGCACTCGGCGTAACACCCGACGGTATTGTCGGTCATTCCTTCGGTGAAATAGCTGCTGCTTATGCCGACGGATGTCTTAACACCAGAGAAGCACTTTTGGTGACCTATTATAGAGGACTTGTGACCGAAAGCGATAAGAAAATACCGAAAGGACTGATGGCTGTCGTCGGTCTGTCCTGGAATGAGGCGAAGAAGTTGTGTCCGAAGGGGACGAGTCCTGTCTGTAACAACGGAAAGGATACAGTAGTTGTTTCCGGTATTTATATTATTAACTGATATTTTGTCATAAATTTATATTCTGATTGTCTTGTATTAATTCAAAGGCTTATACAATGAGACCAAACAAATGGTTGAAGACTTGACCAAAAAGGGAATATTCGTTCGCGAACTCCAAAGTCATGACATCCCATATCACAGCGAATATCTCATTACTTCTGCCAAACGATTGACAGATGAGCTCAAGAAAGTGGTTCTCAAACCCAAAACCCGATCCAAAAAGTGGGTTTCGACGGCTATTATTGATTCAGATCCGGACGATGTACTCAAGACTGCTTCGGCCGAGTATTTCGTGCATAACCTCATTAGTCCCGTCTATTTCTATAATAAAGTCAAATATCTGCCAATGGATGCCATTATTATAGAGATCGGACCGCACGGACTCTTTTCAAAGATAATCTCGCAAACCCTCGATGCGGCCAATTATATCTCATTCATTAAGAAGGACTCAAACGAGACAAATATGGATATGCTTTTGTCGGGCATTGCCAAACTCTATGAGTTGGGTCTCAATCCCAATATAGAGAAACTCTACCCCAAAGTGGAGTTCCCAGTGGTGAGAGGCACTCAATCCATTGCATCCCTGATGAAGTGGGATCACGTGGAAAACTATTTCGTCCGAAAATGGCCCGATTTCTACTTCAAAGGCACCTCATCTGAAATGACTGAAAACATTAATCTCAAGCGAGAGATCAAATCCTTTTTGCCCGACCATTGCATTGACGGCAACTGCCTGTTCCCGGCCACTGGCTATTTGATGTGCGCCTGGAGACAGATGGCAGCCTTTAAGGGCAGGCTTTGGAATCAAATACCGGTGATCTTCGAAGACGTTCAGTTCCGAAGACCCGTTTTTGTATCCCAAGAGGAGCCCACAAAACTGAAAGTCAGATATATGGACCAAACGGGTAATTGTCACCTCTTGTGACCACTTCTATATTTCTGCAAAAATAGATTTAACCAAAGGGTTAATGATTTTTATGATCACACATTAAATTAGTTTATAAAAAAGTTTTAGACAAGTTTCAACTCTAAAATATATTATATCTGATACGATAAGGAAAAGCTCATATGTATGGTTTTTAATATATCTTATAAGATAAAAATCTTATGAATTGGTTTTGCCTGATCACAACAGATATTGTATAGCGTTAACAGGTTTTGTAGTACAGTATTCACTCTCTCATAGCTGTAGCGCACTGTAAGGCTTAACTGTAATGAATTTCACAAAAGTGATGTCTTTGACAGCTTAAGGTAGCATTGATTAAAATGAATTGATTGATTGAATTGTAAATTGCAGGTGATTTCGTGATCCTGGAGAATGGTAACCCCACGTGTGTGGGCAAAATCCGTTGTCCCGATGAATACACACTGAGTGTTCAAAACCTCATCCAAGACGCGCCCAAAGAGGGAGAAGCGTTTGAGGCGGAGATCGAGACGAAAGACATCTATAAAGACCTGCGAGTCGTTGGCTATGATTACGGCCCCAAATTCCAGGGCCTCCGCAAAATCAAGACCAATGACTTCGAGACACTCCACGGAGAGGTTGAATGGGACGGCAATTGGATCCCATTCATGGACTCCCTCTTGCAGACAATGGCCGCCGGAATGCCATTCAGGAAAATGATGGTTCCGGTGATGATCAAGCAGTTAAGGTGTGACCCCAAAGTGCTGTACGAAGCGGTGGTCGCCGGTAAGGTAGACACCAAACCTCAGGCCCAGTTGGACGAGGAGGCGACTATGGATCACCTCATGCAAGACGACGGCGACAAAGAGAATGTCGAGACTGTGGACAAGGATTTCAGTACAATCTTAGACCAGAATAATGTGGACACCGTCGAGGAGCTCATTGGACAGGACTTCCATATTTACAAATCAATGGTTCCATTCTATGTGGACATGAGCTCCCGGATGATTGTGGCGCCGGGTATAGAGGTGGAGGACCTGATGGCTCTGCCCATCCCTCGCAAAGTGAATGCTCAGGATCTCAAACTCGAATCGTATGAATACATTACTAACGAAGACTATAACGCTATCGAAGAAAGTGATAAAAAGAAAGTTATGGAGTATTTGAAGGTTTGTTTGAATAGTGATTTGAATGTCATTATATAATTTAGTTAAATAACTGTCCGTATGGTTAGGTCTGTTCAACGGTAGCCAACAAAATCAAGAATAACTTCGATTCAGACAGAAGTGAATCCAAGAATTTTGAAATAAACGACGATTTGATTCACGAATACAACAAAGACATAGACACTAAAGAAGATCACGTTTTGTTGAAAATGTTTAATGAAATCTCGAAGAAGTCTGTGGACCAGAACCAGAATCTCGTCGACGGAAAGCTCAATGACTTTGTGTCAGATTTGCTGCAAAAACCAGAATACGATCTGTCGTTGGATATGATAAACAAGGTCTCGAAGAACGAGCGCCTCATCAGAACTCTTGTGGATATTGTCAGCGAAAACAATGTCCCGAAGAAAGAGATCAAAGTATTGGAAATTAATTTCAATAAAAATATTTTCGCCGAAGAGATCGATAATTATTTGGCGTCTGCGGCCATATATCCGATTGACGTCGACTACAATATAGCCGTCAAATCGACTTCTAATGTGAAGGAAGACGTGAGGAAGTCATTCAAAGTGACCGAATGGGACGTCGAGAAGTCGAGTTTCCCGGTGGACGTGACCCTGGCCAATTTGGTCGTATTCAACGACTCGCAAGACTTGTGGG